ATTTTTTTCTCAATCTTCTGTTTAACTTTTTACATAGATATGTCTGTATTATATATTATGTATGTATGTGTAGGTGGGTATATATATTAAAAGGTTATCTAATCACTTCAAAGAATGTTCTCAGCTTGAGTTTGTTGGATGTATATTTGTATGTCTAATAAATTCTTAAACTAGGAAATCAATTTTCTCTTCAACAAAAAATGTTATAAAGGTGCATGCTACTATTAAAATTGTGGTTTCCAATCTGCTGTGCTAGACTTCTAGAAAGTCATTCAGTATTGGAACAATTTTCAAAAGGCTGACAGGTACCATGTCTAGTGACTAAATAAAAGAGAAACTTTATTTTGTTGTGGCTGGACTTACAACAATCTGATTTAAGTTTTGACTGATTATTGATGACATTGAAATGTCAGGAAGCACAGTTGGTATCTCCATCATTTATTGCTATCACAGTTTAGGTAGCTACATTACCTGAATTGGTTAATTGACTAAATCTAATGTGTGATGAACCTTGGACCTGAGTCCCTGCCTGCTTATTTATCTGCACATTCACAAAGAATGGTAGTGATGTATCTAATGTTGCAGTATTATTAATGCTTAGTTAAAATCTCAAATAACAATAAAATATAAAAAGTAGCCATAGCTCATAAAAATACATGCAGTTTTTAAGTAGATAAATCTTTCAGACCTTGGAATCCACAAAGAAAATAATAATAGAAGATATTCATGATGACAGAAACATTGAGACCATTCCATCATGAAATGCCATGGTGATCCTTAGAAGTAATATCTTGGGATACAAATCAGGCAAAATTTTTAAAATTTTCAGATAAACATATTTTTAATATTATATTCTATAAAGTTAATTTTCTTAAAGTTAACAAAGGCATTGCAGGTGACATAATAGTTGGATAGAACTGGTAGTGAGAGAGTACCAGTTAGTCTTGTTCTTTCCCTTTTTTTTAACTTCCTTTCCCAAAGAAGAATATAAAGAAATTACAACAGAACTCCAGTCTAAATTCTTCACTTCCATCAAGGCCCATCTTTTATTAAAATAAACTTCTAAACCCTTTCACCTGATTTTGAACACCAACTGAATGTGCTAGAATAATAAATATTATTATTTCATGACAGTTCATTAAATTGCTTAAACTTACATGTATATATGTATATATTTATACATGTACACATGATCTATTATTTCTTCTTATCAGGAACATGCTTGTTAGATTTTGAATTAATTCACTTATACAGCACCAAATTATTCAGCACCAAATTTATTCAGGAATTTCACAAAATAATGGGGACCCAAACTGAAATAGACAGTGTTTTGTTCTCAAGGAGGTCACAGAATACTGGAGGAGACTAATGCATAATTTAAAGCTTTGAGTAATACTTTTTATAATAGAAGAGTACTTAATGGAGCACAGATGAGAAGCAAGGAAGCATTTGAAGATAAGGTAATGTAGTCAGGAAACAGGGAGAAGGTACTTTCAACCTAAATTCAGGAATAGCATACAGACTACAGTCCTAGAGCACTTGTTTTGAACTTGCTCAGGAGGCAGAGAAACTGTGAGTCATGATTTACTTTACAAACATCATATTGTATGAGTTTGAAATATTCTATGAAAGAGCGATGCATTATATTCAAATACTTACTGTATTTTTCGTGAAGGAATATAAAGTATGGGAACATATATTATAATCTGTCCATCTAAGCCTGGCTAATGTTTATATTGTTTCTCTGTTAATAATTTTCTCCTAATACAATTAACCATGCTTTGGGATTTAAACTATATTTTAGATGCTAGGGGAGTTGGACAATTTTAAATGATCTTTTATTTCCCCTTTCAAAATTGAAACAGGAAAACCCCAAATTACCATTTGGTTTATAATTCTCCTCTTCTTCCTTTTTATACATGTTCTGTGCACACACACATGATTATGTATTTAGCAATGTTAGGATATTACTGAAAATGTGTCTGCATTCTGATTTTTATATTTAATGGTATAGAGTGGTCAATTTTTTTCTATGTCACTAAAAAATCACTTAAACATTATACTATGAGGCCAAATATATTAATTTGCCGATGTAGTATTTTATTCAATATTTTAATCAGTGTAGGGGATATCAACATTTATATTCAGGTTAGAGTGATCCCCGAGATGGATCAGAAATGGGAAGATTAGAGGAAACAAGACTGGGGACAGGAGTCCACAGAGGTGGCTACTGCAATAATTCATATGAAAGATGATGGGGGCCTGGACCAAGTCAGTGGAAGTCAAAAAAAAGGGTGTGGTAGATTCTACATGTTTTGGGGCTTTGGTATAGATGTGTGATGTGTTTTTGTAATTAATGGAATATGTGAAAGTGAAGGAAAGAAATCAGTCTAGAGTGACTTCAAGTTTTGAGTTTGGTGACAATTTAACAATTATAGTGCCTTTCTATACTGAACTAGGAAATACATGGTGAGGAACCAATTTAATCATTCCATAAAAATTCTTGAGAGCTTCTATAGGCCATGAACTGTGCTAGGAGTTGGAGATAAAATTTTGGACAAATTAGATCTTTCCTCTTACATAATTTCAGCCTAGTGTAGCAGATAGACTTTTGTAATACAAATAAAATGACGTATCCATCATTCCTCTAGTCAAACAATTTTTAATGACTACGTTGAGTCAGGCACTGTGCTGAGTGCTGGGCAGAACAGTCATGGTCCTACCCTCATTAAGCTTACAGTATAATTAAAGATACAGGGATAATTGAATAATAATAAAATCATATAAATAAAATCGGTTCTTGAAAAATGTTTTGATGCAAATTATGGTGTGTATGGAATCTTAAGATAGGGAATAGATTAGAGGCATCACTAAACATTTCTCTATGAACATTTTCCATTAGTTGAGACCTAAACGATGAACAGGAGTCACTGTCCTGCTGCATTCTAGGCAGAGGGACTAACAAATGCAAAGAACCTGAAGCAGGAGGAGCATGACCCACTTTACAGGAGCTGAAAGAAGTTCAGTATGTTTGGGGATAGAGGCAGGGAAAGCAAGAGAGAGATGAGAGGTAGAGAGCTCCTGGATATTGTAAGAACTAGAACTCATGGGCCATGTTCTAGAATTTATATTTCGTTCACTGGACAAATGAAAACCACTGAAGTATTTTAGTTGGTCAGTCTGGTTGGGACCAAGATTGAATTTTTATTTTGGACAAACAGTTTGACCATAGTGGAATGAAGAGAGAAAAGACAGGATGGTGTTGTAGGAATACAGACAAGAAACAATGATGTTCCGGGTTACAGGGTTTGCAGTAGAGATCAAAAAATGGGGTTGACTTTAAAGCAAATTCAAGATATTTCATTCTAGAAATTTATGAGTGATTGGATGTAGGGGTTGAAAGAGAGGATGGTATCAATGGTGAATCCTAGTTGGCAATAGATATGGGTGCCGTTAAATACTATAAGGAAATTTGTAATTTTTAGTTTCCTTTTTCTTTAAATTTAATTTGGAGGATGTTGGGGGAAGATGAGCCATTCAGATTTGAACCTACTGAACTTTAGGTATCCTTGAGATATCCAAATGGACGTAGCAAATGACAGTGGATATTCATGTCCGGAACTCTGCAGACAGGCCTTAGCTGGAGGTAGAGATTTGATGGTCATTAGCAAACTGTTGATAATTGAAACCACTGGGGTGGATGTGAATTTGTGGGGGAAAAGAACATATTCCCAGTAGATTTGCTGAATTTGAAGTATCTCTGAGAAATCTGGATAAACTCTTGGAAAGACATTAGAGATAAGCCCAATGCCATTATGTTCTGTGCAAGAGGAGGTAGTTGCCCTGTCAGGAGGGAGCAGAGGTGGGCTTTGAGAGGAATGATGACATCTTGTTTGGGGCCTAGCTTCTGTGAGGAATCAAAAGAAGAGGAGAGCAGGGAAGCAAACAGGAGATGGGAGGGAGTGCTGGGTGACGCACTGGTTGCTTGCAGCTGGCCTATGTGTGATGGTCACCTTTGCTTACACAAGTTATCGTTGCCCAGAAGAGGACATTCTTTCAACAGATTTTTTTAAAAATTCTTTCTTTCTCTTCTGTTTTGTCCTCTCCTTCCTTTTTTTTCTTCCCCTCCTCCTTTTCCCTCCTCTTTTCCCCTTAGTTCTGTCTAATGAGAGGAAGTGCGTAGAGTTCTTTTGGAGTCAGTCAGACCCATACTCACATAAATTACTCCAGGGAGCCGCATTTCTGGCACGTAGGGATGAGGGATACAGCAGAGTGGCGAAGAGTATCGAAATGGCTGTGTTTACATTCCAGCTGTGTATCCGTCAGCTGTGTGACTTTGGAAAAGGCACTTGTATGCTCTGATACTCAGTTTTCTCATCAGTAAAATGGTGATACTCATAGTACCTAATAAAAGGAGTTATTAAGATACTTAAATGAGGTTAAGTATGTGAAGCTTTCTTATAGTTCTGGGTACATTGTCATTCTCAGGAAACTGTGCTTATTAAATACTACCTTTATTTTCTCTTTTGAATCTCAGTCTTATTCATTTATGTTACTTCTTTACGTCAGTCAGAAGTATTTGATAAAGTGGCACAAAACAACAAAGAGTTATTATTTGAGTACCTAGTCTATTAAAGGAACTGTGATAGCTGTTGAAGTGTCTAAAAAAAAGAAATATAAAATGACTTCTCTAATGTTAGACAAATGTACAATCTAAACACCTACTCAAAAAGGCAAGATAGCTCATTTTTTCCCCTCAAACGCATTCCCAAAATATATCTATATGGGAATATATTTATTATTATTATTCATTATTTTATTCTCTTGTAAATTACTGTTTAAATTTTTAAATAAATACCTTAGCAAATATTTTGTTTGGCCTTTCCTTATAAGATTGTTCTCTGTACCCTGCCTTGTTAGGATTATATTGATTTTAGAATTAAATTATGTTTTGAATTATTGGTGTGCTGAGTATATCAAATTTTCTGCTTAGGAAGAACAAACCATTTTATAAACTTCAGGAAGTCAAGATTCTTGCTGAATTTTTCAGTGATGTTGTAAATATTTCAAGCATTGGTTTGACATATTTCCAGAGCTCAAATCTGCAATGTTCCACATGTGAATATAGGATCCATAGTCTCATGTTAAAATCACTTACATATCCAGAAAGGTAAGAAAACTAAATTTTGACTTCAACATGTTATCTTTTAAACTTGAAAATATTGACTTGCTAAGTAGTAGTTTAAGAATTCAAGTATTCAAATATCTGTCTATTATGTATTTCAGACTCTATTTTAGATAAATATTAGAATATCAAAAAGGTGTACAATACATTGTTTTTGGTTTGGACAAAATTTATTTTGGAATCACATTACCCAAGCAAAGAAAAAAGCACACAGAATCATTTCATAAGATACAACAAAACTGGAAAAGGTGAGACGAATGTCTGCCTGAGAAGTTTACCAATCATTTCTTAAATATACATATTTATTTACAGAGTGGTTGAAAGCTCTTTTATAAAATCCTTTAGATGATATCTAATGGCTGAAAACTCTGTAATGAAACATGTGGTCACAGAAGATAGAAATCATCATGACTTCCAATGATCCTTTCTTTTTTCCAACTTCATTATTTTTTTGGGGGGAAGAGAAAAAAGTCCATTTTCATCTTCTGTATGTAAGATTCTACAGGTCACTGGAGATTCAACTCCAAGAATGTACTGACCACTGACAGGAGGGAGGCTCTTTGATATACTGTCTGCTACAAGGGGTTTTCAGAAAGTTCATGGAAGGATTTGTGTTACATTTTAATTCTACTTTTCCACTAAATATTTGAAATACGCTTGAATAACAGCATGAAGAGAAGTGGTTTCTTTACATTTTAGTTTTATAGTCACTTGTCTCGGTTTGTTAATTATGTCACAAATACCTCCACTCCTGTTAAAATGTGACACCATCCTGACCGGGTACAATTTTCTTGAAGATGCTAGCAGTATTTTTCTTAGCCCATTTAATGTTTTCTTCTTGGTTTCATGTCCTCACAAACCTTCCAGGGGTTTTCCCGCTATCCTTATCCTCATAGTGTCAATCTACATGCTTCCTGTAGAAGAATCCGTATTTCCATTGACAACACTCCCGTGAAAGCATTACGAACCACTAAGGAGCTCTTTATGAGTTGGCCACCTGTCAGTTGGGATATGTGAGGTTTTCCAACAGCGAGCGTCAGCTGAGAGCCAATAGAAATGGGTTTGTGAATTGCTGGAAATCTCTCTTTAGCTGACTGCAGTGCTTCCTCCTTATTTCTCTTTATGTTCCTGTATTTATATATTTGATTTTCCAATTACATTCCTATATATGTTAAACATAGTAAATAGGAATTTGTAGAGAATAAAAATAAAAATAATAAATTGTAAGAATATGCTTTTAGGTGAGGGAAAATTCTTTGAAGTATATGTCATTTTATAACTTTCGGTATAATAATATTTAGTCACTCAAAAGTCAGTAAGTAAAATGTCATTATAATGTCAAAAACCTATGGATAATTTTATTATCCTATACTTTTGATGGAAATACTGACAAAAATACCAAAATAATGTGGACATTTTCAGCGGGAACATTAGCAACATCTTTCTACCAAAGTATATCAGAGGAGGAGTTATGCCTTGAAGGACTACAGCTATAAGATTTTCAATCTCCACCTGATCTCTGTACTTGTTATTTTTTTTTTTTTCCTTTTTGTCTTTTTTCGTGACCGGAAATGGGATCGCAACCCTCGGGGTCGTGCCCGCACCACGCTCAACCAGCGAGCGGACCGGTCTCTATATGGGATCTGAACCCTCGGTGGGAGGGCCGCTGTGCTCCCAAGCGCCGCCGCCTACAGAGTGCGCCACCGGGCCGGCCCTCTGTAGTTGTTGTTTTAAAGACTCAAAGCCTCCACTAAACATAAGAGTAGAAATTGTATTTGCATTTCCCTCAAGCCAGACTGTAAAGAGGCCAGGGCTGTTGTACCATCACACTCCTCTAGTTTCCCCCATTAATACCATTCTGAGTGTAAAGATGGTGAATACGAACAGAGAAGTCTAGAAGTTGTAGTTTTGCATCCTCTGTTTCTAGAATTAAATTTAAAGGATCCAAATTGTCCACAAATAAAGTCGTCTTCTTATATATGTATAATCTGTGAAAAGAAAAACAAAGAATTTCCTCCTCGGTCCAGAAGCAGCACACAATGTAAACCTTGGCCAGGTACTGGAATTTAGCTAGAATATTTGCACAAGAAACAGCACACAAGCTGAAGATGAGAAAGAGAAATTTAGTTTTACACATGTGGACAGTAAAAGGAACCAAGGATAATTCACCCTTTGTGTATATGGGTGAATGCCTGGGCAGATACTCCTCACATAGTTGAGGCAGAAATGAACAGGAAAAACACAACACAGCCACAAAACGGGGCCTAATTCAGCATCAGCAACACAAGAAAGAAAGATATAACAATCAAGATTTAGAAATAAAGTTGACTTTTAGGGCCGGCCCGGTGGCGCACTGCTACAGTGTGCCGCTTGGGAGTGCGGTGGCGCTCCCGCC